CAGCAGGAAAGCCTCAGCTTTGGATTTGGACCAAGAAGTGAACTGCAGTATTTTCTGATTTCTTTTTTTTTCTCTGTTACAAATCTGTGGTAAAAATGTCATATATAAAATAATTTTCAGAATTATGATTTTCATTTTTCTCTTGGAAATGAGAAAGAAAATGTACGTGTATCCTTTTTCTAACACTACTTTGACCTGTCCTTAGGTGACTTTTCACAGTGCTCGAATGAAAGATTTGTTTCTTCTTTTACAGACACAATCCTCTTGGCTTGCCCTAAGTGATCTTTTTTTTTTTTCATTCCTCTAACAACTGTTACATTGCTTTTCTAACATGTCTTGCAGTATTTGATAAATCCATCATTGCTAGGTTCCTTTTTGTTTCTCTTTGTCCTTCATTCAAAGGATGAATAGGACTTTCTCACGTACATAGGGCACTTTGAGATTTAACAACAATCCCATTCAAAACCCTAGATCTTTGGATAGCCTCCAGGCAGTTCATTCCTTCTTTTTGTCTTATTCTTTTTCCTTCTATATGCTCGCCAAAAAAGAAGTCTTTAGAACAGGGTTTGAGCGCACTCAGCTCAAAAGATCAAGTGACATCATTTAATATTGGTTAGATTTTTTTTTCCCACTAGTCATAGTCCTAGCTACTGCAGTGCTAAAATAGCATATGGCTATGAAAAATTCAAAAGGTCTTATATAATGGGTTTTTTAAAATTAATTTTATAAATATTAGTCATCCTAGTTTCCTGTCGGGATACCTGCTTGACTTTGCTGGAAGGTAAATGTTCTAGTCTGAGAAAGTTAACAATATTCCTTCAGATTGGATTCATGTTCACCTGCATAGTGATGCAAACCGATGCAACTGTAATGAAGGCTAACAGAAATATTTACAGTGTAGAAATTTTCTGTTGTCTTGGCCTTAGCTTCACTGAATTTGTACCCATTAAGAATTTCTTGCAATGGCTTTTGAGTAATAACTTTTTCTTTCTCAACAGTAATAATAACATATAATTTTAGATACACATGTTTTAAAGATTGTACCAGCATGTTGAAAGAAAAGTACTCGTAGCTGTAT